AATGTATCACCGTTGACAACAAATGTCGATATGTTTGAAACTTTCTTCTTTGCGCCAGTTCTGGATAACATGCAAGCGTCTTACCACTAAATGGTTCATGTGATCATCTTGATCAACAGCCCATCCTACCAGTAGCATTCTTAATGGTCTTATGCCTACTGAAGCTTACTTTCTGCAAGTCTATTGGCGACGTTTTTGAAAAAGAAGCCTTAGATGAAGCTATCGAATCCACTTCAGCAGAAAATCCCATTCAACAACACCTCTCAAAAAGATACGAGGAAGCAAGCCAAGGAATCCGCAATAAATGCTACAGCGGAAGCCTTGAAGAAACTGCTGAGGCCCTGGGAGTGCTAAATCTACCAGGCGTTCGCTTGGTAAGAGTTGAGGGTGAGCTCTATCAAAAACTCTTGAAAAATGAAACTATTGTTGAACGGAAGTCTGGCTCTAACGAATCTGCATCAAAGGCCTCTCGTGAAAGTTCTTCTGCTAAGAGGTCATCTGAATCAATTGATATGTGCGAAGAAGAGTATGCTTATACCTACATACTTGCTCACGCAAATGGACAGCTTGCTTACCAAGTAGACACGGTGGTTTGCCAGGGCGAATACTGCCAATCACCCTATCTTAACTACGTTGTGGGAGATTTTGGAGATTGTGTCCTAAAGGAACAAACAATGGTTGTGTATATCATCAACGCTTATGGAAGCTTTGTTCCACAGACAATTAAAATAGGTTGTGCTTGTGAATGTATGGCTTATGCTTAAACGCTCTAATAGTTTTGTTTGAGATCATTTGGAGCATGAGAATATATAATATCATGGTCTACAGCTCAGAATAAATGAGTGCTTAATCACTTTTATATGCTCAGGGGTAGAGGGGAAGGGGTAATTTTGCAAGTCTTGTAAACTCATCACCAACGAACTAAGCACGAAATGTAAAATATTGTTGTTGGTTAGACAAGATATTTGACAACATGTATCACTAAGCAATATGTAGAAATTGTGCCAATCATAAATGTATTTTTAAGGAGTTTTGTTTGTTATTTTTATTTTTTTGTAAGGTGAAAAGTAGTTAGTTGTATTTTCCCAATCCGTTTCTTTCAAATAAACAACTTCCTTCACACAAAAAATTGTTTGTCTTTTTTATCCTCGGCTGCAAACACTTTTCTTTCCGGATTCCCCCGGCTCTAGCTAGATCCCTTTGTCAGGAAGATGCATATAACCTTTATAGAATTTCTTTTCGAGCCTCAAGAAAAGAAACTATGAGAGAGAGAGAAGAGAGAAGAGAGAAGAGAGAAGAGAGGAGAGAGAAGAGAGGAGAGAGAAGAGACTTGGAAAATGAATCAAAACATAGAGTTTAAGGGTCCTGTTAAACTGCTATCAAAATAAAAAAGTTTGTGACAAAAAAGCCACGTACTCTTTGCGCGTTCGTTCTCTCGAAGCAACTAGCTTCCAGGCCTTTACCAGACAAACCCAATATATATAGCGCCCTAATGGGATGTAGTTATCAGAAAGGATCGCTTTATAATAAATAGCTCATCAAAGCTTCATCTTTGGTGGGCAGTAAAAAGGGCCATTATGTGTACAGACGAATGATTCTCAGCTAATAGAAATAAGGTTTTGAATTAATTTTGACAGGAAAAATATAAATGATTTCAGTACAAAAGCATTWTATGGACAATCGCACACTCAAGAAGACGCCTTTCACCCATTATCGTCTAATTGTCTCATTCTAAGGGTAATCTGTGAAAGCAGAGGAAATTTTTTCTTGCAGAGATGCTCAAGACAAGAAGTGCATGAATCTCAGATTAACTTCTTCGATCCATGCCACATCTTTTTCTTTTTCACAACATGAGGGTGCATTCTTAAACAAGCTCTAGCGTTTCTCTATCCGGTTAGCTTCTAACTTCCTCTTGACAACTACAAATTAAACTTTGTATAACAAGAAAAGGTAGAAGGAAGGAAGTTGGAAGCTTTAGAATATTAATTGAACTGACAATGAATGACTACATGTACTTCCTTTCATTAATTCTGCTACATCCTTTTGTACCAACGATTTCATGTTCAGAAGTGAAAAAAAAACACAAACCCATTTTTTTATTAATTTAACTTGAAAATGATTTTTGGCATTTCATTCCTACAACGAAAGTAGTTCATTATCGTATTTTGTATCAACCCTTTTCATTTCGCTGCAACGCTGCTAAGTAATGAAACTTGTCAGTTAGACTGCGTTTGTCTTCAGCCCATAATTTGGCATTATTTCGCTATTTAATCGGCACTCAAACGACCAGAGATAGTATTTCTTCCCTTTTGACGTAATTTAAAAACTTTTACGGCCCAGAACAGAAGTAATATAGAGGTTGCAGAAATTTGAAATTTTAATGAGTTGAAACCTTTCCTGTGATGTGGTCTGATTCCGGTACTATCACAAACAGCATCAGCTATATCTCTTTCCTTCTCAAGCGATGATTTTTACTTTCTTTTTAATTCAGCAAGGTACTCAGACGGACACAGCTTTGATGAAAACCGGATTATGATAATTTAAGCCCTGTCCGTCTCGACTAGCAAGCACACGAGCTCAGCAGCTCTTTACCTCTTGACTTGTCCTACCGTTTAAGCTTTAGGCCCGTCTCTTCTGCGATAGCTGATCAAATATGAAGGTACTACTTAAGATACTACATCATCAACTTTTATTCAAAGTTTTATCTTACTTAAATTCGTATGATTACTCGGCATGAACCGGTTTACTAATTCATCGGTCAGTCGAGGCGGTTGAAAACCGGTGTTTTTTTCTAATAGCATAAACTTAATGCTTATATAATGAATTTATATTGATTTGTCTAAGAACCAGGTCAAAAATTGTTAAGAGGAAATTTTTTCAATAATGAGCAATAATGGCAAAAAGCGCCAAAAACTAGACTTTCGTATATGAGTTTTGATCCCAATTTTCGTTTTGGGTTAACACTCAAAGCCTTTTTTAAACAGTTCGAAACTGATGTGAAAAGGACAGCGATAGGAAACATATAGTTTTCACTTCACGACATTTCGGTGTCATCATGACTCCATTATTAATTCACTATCCCTTGATAATGGAGGCACGATGACAACGAAACGTCGTGAAGTAAAAACTATATGTTTCCTATCGCTGTCCTTTTTAGTATTATGCTTCTCCAAGCAACTACTTATCAAGACTTTGAAACTGATGTACTATAATAAAATGCTTGTTTGAAGCGGTATTTTCAATTGTACAAAGATGTTTTGTTGCATTTGTGTTAGAATGTTGCTTTGTCGGGCTTTTTTATAGGAAATATATGGGAAGTAAGCAAATGAAGGCCTAAACCTCATTTTTGAATAAAGTGTTTGCTTTGGGTTAACACTTTGATTCCACTTTCATCGGTATCTCCACTTCCAAACAAGTTCAACTTTCTGAATAACAAGATTTTAGCCTTGTACAACAGCCTTTCTTCAAGAAAATAGTTTTTGGCGCTCACTGCTTGAATACGAAAAGAAAACTCTCTTGAATACTAGTTTTCAAATTTAATTTTGAAGTTTGCATGAATTTTATCGTTGAAATTTCGGGAAAAATCTAATTATAACATAATAAAAATACATTCTCGTACCCAGACCCTTCTCGCCAACAAAATCGATTTTTCGATTTTTCGATATTTCGTTAGAAAGCTGACTGAAGCGTTGGGTACCTACGAGAATGAATAAGATAAAGATGTCGCATTACGGATGAAGATTCCCAAGTGACTCATTGTTTTTCTGTTTGTTCTATAGCTCACCGTGTTTTTAATAATGGCCATGAGCATTGCTCATACAAGCCTAGCAGAACCAGAACCTAACCTTAACGATCTAGGCATGTTTGAAGAGGAAAGGTACTTTCAAGCCAATCAATTGAATCTAGAAGAAACGCCCACATTCGTCAATGAAAACTTACAGACTGCTCCAGCATTGTCGCTTAATGATGTCTTTCAAAAGAATGGCGAGGAGTGGAGCGAAAAATCATTCCTAAGGGCGATTAAAAGTCTAGGTGTCTTAAAAATGGAGGGCTTAAAGCTAGTGAGACTTCCAAAATCAATGATCAAGACTATGAAACGGATGCCGAACCAGACTATTGTCCGTCCAATCACGTATTTTCATCCTGATAGCAAAGTCCAATATGACGCTACACCAAGCCAGTGCAAAGAGAATGTATACGACATGTTCACTCTAGCCCATGCTGACAGCCGTCTAGCATATAAGGTGGAAGCCATCAATTGTAAGGGGAAATGCTCCGAGAATAAGTCCTGCGTTCTCAAAAAGAAGGCGATGTTAGTGTATCTTCTCGATCCGAACGGTAGACTTTTATCAAGGACATTCGACGTAGGATGCACATGTGTGTGTATGTGAAATGAAAATGAATCCAATCAAATGCAGTGAAAGTTTAGAAGATTATACTTGGATATATATAAGAAAAAAACATATATTTAACTTGTAGTACGTTCTTTGAAATGTAGTAAACGCGGTGCGGAAAGGTAATCAGACAAATTATATCATTAATTAAATATTATAAATGCATCAAGAACAAAAACATCTTTAACGTGTAAGTTGATTTAGAGCCTTATCTCTCATTGGAAAACGCGGTGAAAGTTTATAAGACAAATTATATCAATTAAATATATCGAAAGCAAAAACGTCTTTAACTTGTAGTGAAAGTTCTTTGAGATGTAGATGGTTTATAGTGGTTTTCGTATGATCAGTGGGAAACGTATATCGTATGGATGCATCAGTGTATTTCAGGGGATCAACGGTGCTTTGAATACGAAGCACGGACCTAGATAAAACAAAGTCTGGCTAAAAAGTTCATCTTTGTTGAGGATTTTTGAAATGCGGATTCATTTTGAAGCAAAGAAAAACCGGAAAATCCGGTTGGAAAACAAATGTATGCATCAGCCTGAACGGAAAGTTTCACTTTGCCCGTTTTTTTTTTTTTTTT